ATAATTAAGCTATATATCATATGCTGAAGTACATTTCTGGAGTGTTAAAGATTAAAAGAAAAAATAACAAGAACCGTACAGAACCGAAAACCGTGACCCTAAAACCGTGATACAAACCGAACCGTGGGTTTTGTGAACCGTGCCACCCCTAATATATATATATAATTAAATTATTCCATTTAATAGAAAAACAGTAGCGATCTAATAACACTAGATCCATGGTTTCCCAGACCATTGAACATCAAACTCCTTTAACCTCCCAGCAAGATGTACTTTAGTGTAAGCAGCCCTTCTGTTTGCAATAATGTGTCATGGTAAATGGACTGCATTTATATAGTGCTTTTCTACTCTTATTAGCACTCAAAGTGCTTTACAATTTATGCCTCACATTCACTTATCCTCACTCACACACCGGTGACGGAGGCTGCCATGCAAGGTGCCAACCTGCACACTGGGAGCAATTTGGGGTTCAGGGTCTTGCTGAAGGATACCTTGATGGGGACAGGAGGAACCAGGGCTTGAACCTGAAACCCTCTAGTTGCTGAATGATAGCACTACCTCCTGCGCCACCATGGGTGTTAATAACAGCAGTGAATCTAACACCCCCAACCAAAAAGCCATAATGTTCTTAAGAGAGCGGCTGCTCTGTCCTGAAATCCTACAGCTGAAAAGTTTTCAAATGCAGTACGCATTTTATAAAACGCTGAATAAATAGTCGTAGTTTATTATTTATTTCATGTTTGTTGAAGTTTCTGCTTGTTAACAACTGTATAAAGTAATGTCATTTTATGCAAATTAACTCAGGTGAAACAATTTTTAAATGTCAGCTCTCACACATCTGGCATGGGGCTCATGCTTTCAGACTGTCACGCTCAGGCAAGAAATCTTATGGCAAATATACTCAGTGACAAAAAAGGTTAAGCACCAAGACAGATTGGTGGAAATTAAATTAATCTGTATGTGGTGAAAGGTCATGTAAGTGTATTGCAATGATTATAATATTAGATCAAACGGACAACAGAGTTGGCAGTATGGGCACACTACTGGTCCCATGTCAGTAGGGTGTGGCACCCCCCCCGGGCCTGGATACATGTGGCGATACGGTGCGGAAGGGAGTCGTACAGCCGATGTATCCCCTCCTGCAGCAAATCAAGGAAAGATCAGGGGACCTGGACCTCAAGATGACGCAGGCATCGACACACGTGCCGTTTGTGAAAGACTGTACCAGGGTGCTGTCTCAGGAGGGGTAAGACATGCAGACACAGGATGTCACTGATGTAGCGCTATGCCGTCAGGGTCCCCCGAATCACTAACGGAGATAACCTGCCGGTTGGCAGGCGCAGATGCCATGGGGTTCTTTAATGCTTGCCACACAATACGACAATCCTTCCTTGGTGTGGTTTGTCTTGGGCGACGGGAACCTTCACGATGTATGTGGGTGCCCTCATGTGGCCATTGGTTCCAACATCGGGTGACTGTGACATCTGCATGCCCCACATGCAGGGTAAATGCATGATACAACCACCTGGCCTCATGCAAACCCACAATGTGACCCTGTCAAGTGCTACTAATGCTGTCTAATGCATCTACAAGGCATCCTCTGTGTCTGGTGACTAGACCTGCCAGCTCCTTGCAAATCTAATCATTTACATACCCATCGCTGGTCTGCATGTGTACCAAATTGCATCCAGATTGGACTATTACTTCTGCGTGTTTAACACCGTATGTGTGTGTGTGTCCGTGTGTGTGCCCGCTGTGCATGTTAGGAGTAAATGGGGCAAAGTTCACAGTGGGCAGCACAAGTGTGTTGTCAGAGTGACTGGTACGGGTGCAATAAACATCACCTTGTGAGATCAAATCCCATTGTCGCCTGCCACTTACTACGCCCTCCTACACCATGGCCAGTTGGTTCACTACTCTGCTGTCAGAACTGGGGACGATCATTGAGGAGCTCGAGAGGGAGCAAGAAGATCTCCGAAGCACCCACCAGGAAGGAACCTCCGAGAACCAAGTGCTTTGCCTTTCCGGAGCAACCCAATGGTGCCAGCGCCGCCCACCCCCCCTGCCTACCCAAGCAGCAGCAGTGCGGCATGGGGATGCAGCCAGGTGGAATTAAAGACCCCCCTCAAGCTGTCCTGCTATGACAGAAAGGGACCCTTGGAGCCCTATCTGACTCTGGTCCAGCTGGCGTTATGACTCAGCGGCTGGACCCCCAGAGAAACGGTGGGTCACCTGCTCCTCAAAGCCTCTCTCCAGAAGAGCAGGAGGACTGCGGGGCCCTGATTACCGCACTGGAGCAGCAGTTTATACAGTATTATAAAGGACTTGCATTGTGAAACTGCTGCACCATCTTACAGAGAAGGGAAGCGGTATCATGTGGATGGATGCCTGTGCCATGGCGTTTAACCAGCTCTATGAGGCACTCGCTGATGCTGCCATACCAGCATACCTGGAGCCATGTCTTCCATTTAATCTGGACACAGACACTAGTTGCGAGGGCCTTGATGCTGTGCTTTCGCAGGCGGGACCTAGAGGGGAGCGAGTGGTTGCGTATTTCAGAAGAACTCTAAGTATACAGGAGCACAACTACTGTGTCACCTGATGGGAACTGCTACTGTAGCAGTGGTACAGGCATGTACACATTTCCATCCCTACCTCTGTGGCTGGTGGTTCTGGTTGGGAACGGACCATGCATCCCTAACGTGGCTTCTAAGCTTCCACAATCTGGAGTGGCAACTGGCTGGCTGGTTGGAGGTGCTGGCGGAGTTTGATTTTGAGGTCCAGCATCACGCAGGGAAGGTGCTTGGGAATGTGGATGGCTTCTCCTGTAGGTCCTGCCTCACCATGAGTTGCTGTCATTGTTGCTGGGTGAACCAACCTGAGGTAGCAGCCACTGCCCGCAGAGCACCGGGCACCCAGGCTCACTAGGACTTCGATCACCAGCAGCTCATCATGGAGCAGAGCAGCAACCCCGTGCTGGCCAGGGTAAGGGAGTGGTAGGAAGAGGGCAGGTGACCAGGCTGGGAGGCAATCCCAGCTTCTCAACCAGAAACCGAGGCCTTCCACTCCTAGTGGGACACCCTGGAAGAGCGTGGTCAGTACATGGAGCTGTCAGGGCCGGGTACTTCGGGGTAAAAAAGACCTTAGGGAAGCTGCAGCAGCACTTCTACTGGCCCAGCTGCTGGCAGGACACCAAGCACTGTTGGGCCTCATGTTGCCCTCATGTTGGGCCGTGAGTTGCAGACCCCAGTGGAGCTGGTGGAGCCCCTTGAATCAGAGCTGCCAGCAACACTGGGATTGGACTACCTGCGGCAGCTCTGAGAGCATGTGCCGACAGTGTACGTGCTGGCCAGGGATCATCAGGACATGGCCATGGCGACGCAGCTGCCGGGACAGGCGGAGA